CCCAAACCCTCCTTCTCCTTCTTCTTTTTTGTATCTCTCTTCCCTCTTCCTGCTCCTTCCCTCCCTACCCTCCCTCCTCCCCCCTCCTCCTCCTCCTCCTCTTCCTCCTCCTCCTCCTCCTCCTCCTCCTCCTCCTCCTCCTCCTTCCTCCTCCTCCTCCTCCCTCCTCCCCTCCCCCCCCCTCTCTCTCTCTCTTTCAAACTAATTGTTCATAATTTCAGTCTTTTTGCGCTGTCCCCCTCATCCGGGTAAACTGCTTGTTTCCAGCGCTTTCAACACCACTTAGCGACTAACGACCTTGTTATTATCCAGTGTTGCGCCCAATGAATGAGGGTGTTAATGATTTTTTTGGTAGTTAGGGGGTAGGAGGCAGGGGGAGGGGGAGGAGGGAGGTGGGGAGGGGGATGGGGGGGGGGGGGGAAGGGTAGGGATGGGGATGGAAGGGAGGGAGGGAAGGGGTGGGGTGTCGGAGGGAAGGGAGAAGGGAAGAGAGGGGAGGAAGGGGGGGGATGTAAAGGATAGATAAGGATGAAGTAAGAGGAGTGAGGGGGAGGGGGAGGGGGATCAGTAATAATAACAATAACATTTGTTCCTTTGTGGCTGAGCTTTGTCCCCCTCGACACTTACAGAAAATTTGTTCATTTTAACAAAAAACAACTGTAATAAAAATGATTGTGATGATTACTAGAGCACTAATGATAATGTTGATAATGATGTTCATGATGATGATAATGATGATGCTGATGATGATGATGCTCCTTCTCCTCCTATACCCTTCCCTCTCTGCTGCTCCTCCTCCTCCTCTTTTCACTCTCCTACTCAACTTTCACTTCTCTTCCTTCTCTTCTCCTCCTTCTCACTTCCCACTTCTCCTTTTCCCCTCTACTCCTCTTCCTCTCCCCCTACTTCTTCCCTCCTACTCCTCCTCCTCCTCTTCACCTCTCCTCCTCTTTTACTCCTCTCTCCTTCCCTCTCCTTCCTCTTCCCCTCCCCCTTCTCCTCTTCTTCCTTCTCCTCTCCCCTTCCCTCTCTCCACTTCCTCCTTCTCCTCTCCCCCCTATCTCCCCTCCTCCTCTTCCCTCCTCCTCCTCCTCCTCTTCTTCTCCTCTTCCTCATTCCCCCTCACTCTCCTCCTCCTCATCTCTTCCTCTCCTTCCTCTTCTATCCCCCTCCCCTCCTCCTCCTCCTCTTCCTTCTCCTCTCCCCCCCCTACATCTTTCCCCTCTTCCTCCTCCTCCTCCTCCTCTTCCCCCTCCCCTCCCTCCCTCCTCCTCTTCCTTCTCCTTTCCCCCCTACATCTTCCCCTCTTCCTCCTCCTCCTCATCCCCTCCCCCTCCTCCTCCTCCTCTTCCCCCTCTCCCTCCTCTTCTTCCCCTCCTCCTCCTCTTCCCCTCTCCTCTCCTCTTCCTCTCCTCCTCTCCCCTCCCCTCTCCTCCTCTACTTCTTCCCTCCTCCTCCCTCCTCCTCTCCTCCCTCCCCCCTCCTTCCTCCCTTCTTCTCCTCTCCCCCCCTACATCTTCCCCTCCTCCTCTACTCTCTCCCTTCTCTTTCCTCCTCCTCTTCCCTACATCTTCCCATCTTCCCCTCTCCTCCTCTCCCTCTCCTCCTCCTCTACTTCCTCCCCTCCTCCTCCTCCTCCTCTTCCTTCTCCTCTCCCCACATCATCCCCTCCTCCCCCTCCACTTCCTCCTCCTCTACTTCCTCCTCCCTCCGTTCACCCTTCAACGGGAACCAATCAATATCTTGTTTAATTTGTCGAATTCAATTACATGCAACGACTTATCAACGCCTCCCTCCCCCCCCTCCCCCCCTCCCCCTCCCCCTCTCCTCTCTCTGCTTCTCCCTTCGCTTCACTCTTTTTCTCTCTTCATTTGCCTCTTCTCTTTTACTTTTGTCTTCTGTTTTCCTTCGTTCTCTCTCTGTCTTACGTTTATCAATTTTTTACCCTCTTCTTCTTCTCCTTCTTACTTCTTTTTCTTTCCTTCCATTCCTTCTCTTTACATTATCCTCTCTCTGTCTTGGTTTTCCTTTTTTTTCTCTCTCTCTTCTGTCCTGTTTTTTCTTTTTCTTCCTTTTCTTCCCCCACTATCCATCCAGTCTGCTCTTCCTCATCTCTCCCTTCCCTCTCTCAATATTACTTCCTCTCCCTTATTCCTATTGTTTCTTCTCTTCTCTCTCTACCCCCACTTTCCTCTCCCTTCCCTCTCACCTTCTCTCTTTCCTCTCTACTCCCTCTCCCCCGTCTTTCTTTCCTCCCTCCTCCTCCTCTCTTTCCTCTCTACTCCCTCTCCCCCCTTTTCGTCTCTCCTCCCTCTTCCCTTCTTTCTTTCTCTCTCCTCCCTCCTTCTCCCCCCCCTCTCTCTCCTCTCTCCTCCCTCTCCAACTCTCCATACCCTACCCCCCTCAACCCCCAGCCCCCCCCCCCTCTCAACAGTAAATAAACAAAAGCAATAAAAAACGCTATTATAAGCCTCAATAAAAAGACGAAAAAAAAAAAAAA